ATATGCAGATGACACAACTTTGCTTGCTGAAAGTGAGGATGACTTGAAACACTTATTGGTGAAGATGAGAGTATAGTTTGCAGTATGGATTACACCTGAACATAAAGAAAATGAAAATCCTCATTTTCTGGACCAATAAACAGCATCACCATAAATGGAGAGAAGATTGAAGTTGTCAAAGATTTCATATTACTTGTTTCCATAATCAACACCAATGGAAGCAGCAGTCAAGACATCAGACGACATATTGCACTGGACAAATCTGCTGCAAAAGACCTGTTTAAAGTGCTGAAAAGCAAAGATGTCTCCTTGAAGACTAAGGTGCACATAACACAAGCCATGGTGCTTTTAAATCACCTCATAATGCATGTGAGAGCTGGACAATGAATGAGGAAGACTGAAGAAGAGTTGATGGTTTTGAATTGTGGTGCTGGCAAGGAGTACTGAAAGTACCATGGACTGCTAAAAGAACTAACATATCTGTCCTGGAAGAAGTGCAACCAGAATGGTCTTTGGAAGTGAGAATGGCTAGACTTCATCTCACCTCCTTTGGTCATGTTGTCAGAAGGGACCATTCCCTGGAGAAGGATATCATGCTTGGTAAAGTAGAGGATCAACGAAAAAGAGGAAGACTGTCAATGAGATGGATTGACACAGTGGCTGCAATGATGGGCTCAGGTACAGCAAAGATCGTGAGGCTGGCACAGGACCAGGCAGTGTTCGGTTCTATTGTACACAGGGTTGCTATGAGTCGGAGACAACTCAACGGCACCTAAAAACAACAACAACAACATTTTTCCCTTTCACTGTCAGTCTTTGCAAGGCTGACAAATGACTAGCTCCCAGTCTCCCTAAAGAGCCAGTTCCTCCCATGGTCATCCTCACTGTTGACTGGCAGGTGAACACGCCTCAGCCACAATCCTACCAACAGGAAGAAAGACAAGTGGCTGAAATGCTCTCCCAGCCTGCTAAGTAGATCACAGGCTCTGGAGTCGGCAAGAGCAGGGGAAGGCACCCCTACCTCTGACTGGAGGGAGGACGGGGGCCCCCACCCCTTCAGAGGCCTGAGGTGGGGCTGGACAAACAGCACACAGATTCTGAGGGAAATGAAGACAAAGGACACATTGTCAGGGAGAAGGGACAGGCAGAGGATGGCAGCTGATCTGGTAGCAGCTGTGCCAGCCACCATTGTGTGCTCCCACATTCATGGGGTCCTTGGAGGGCTGTGCAGGCCGCCACTCACTTCTCAGCTCACCTGCTCACGTGCCTTCTAGCTCACTGATCAAACCTGTCCTTGTCCTCTTCTGCTTCTGCCCTTCTCATTGTCTCTGTGCTTCTTTTCTCGCTTGAGCTCTTACTGCTAGCATTTTCTATGCATTATTTCATTTATTTTAACTTAGTCATCTGGGGAGCAGATATGAATCCCCATTTTACAGAGGAGAAAACTAAGGTTCAAGGAGACTAGGTAATTTACTGCATGCCAGGCAACTAGGAAGTGATGAAGCAGGACATCCTGTCCCAGTCTGTCTAATCCCTCATCTTCCCGTCACTTTCAAAACACCAGCCATTCTCACAATCCGTTGACCAGTGTTGTTATTACCCAATAAGCAAGGTAAGCATGGATTGATTTGTGCTTACTTACTAATCTGTAGTGAACAATTTCACATGGTTGTTCACTATAGATTAATAAATAAGCACAAGTAAGCCTGTGCTTACCTTGTTTATTGGATAATCTCCCCTGCCCTTGATGACCTCTGGGTCATCTCACAGCATCTCACTGTTTTGTCTGGACCCTTCTCTCCACAGGCCTTTACCAAAAGCATTAACCGAGACAAACACTTGGCCGTGGCTTATTTCCAACGAGGAATGCTCTACCACCGGACAGAGAAGTAAGTGGTATAGTATTGCACAAGCTGGAGATGTTTACAGAGAAACTCTGTGGGATCCCAAGGCTGCTGACTTGGTATTTGAGAAGTATCTCCCTAGCCTCTGTCAGGAAGCTTGGCTGGATCTTCTCTGGGCAGTTATGCAATAAGTCAGTGTGAGGCGGAAGCCCTCACTTGTGAGAGAAGGCAGGCCTGACGTGCTGATTGTAAGTCAACTGTCTCATAGCTCAGAGTCCCTGCAATGTGCAAATGGTTAATGTGCTTGGCTGCTAAGAAAAGGTGGGAGGTTTGAGTCCATCTAGAGGTGTCTCAAAAAGAACTCTGGTGGCATAGTGCATAAGGCATTTGGCTGCTAACCACAAGGTAAGCAGTTCTAAACCCAACAGCTGCTGCACAGGAAGAAGATGAGGCAATCTGCTTCCATAAAGATTCACAGCCTTGGAAACCCAGTAGGGGTTGCTATGAGTTGGAATTGACTCATTGCCAGTGAGTTTGGTTTGGTTGTTTTTTTTTTTTTGAAAGGTGCCTCAGAAGAAAGGCCTGGCAATCTACTTCTGAAAGATCACAGCCATTGAAAACCCTATGGAGCACAGCTCTACTCTGAAGCACAGGGGGGTTGCCATGAATTACAGTCAACTCAATGACAGCTGGTTATTGATGTTGTAGCTTGCAATGAGCCTACGTAACCACCACAGGCCTGGTATTCTGCTGGCCTGACCCATTCACCACCCCCCCTCTGACGAGTCACCGAGTACCTGAGCAGAGTGCTATGTAAATATTTTGGCCATCAAGAGGCACTGTTTTGAAGTACTGAGCTATGAGAGAATGAGGATTACCATGAAGCCACATTAAAATCTTGCTAACACTGTCAGTGTAACTAATGCCACTAGCCCATACACTTAAAAATGGTTAAAATGGCAAATGTAATATTGTATGTATATTACCATAATTAAAAGAGAACAAAGTCACATGACAGTAAACATAATACAGAAAAGTAAAAACAAAGCAAAAATACTTTGCTTAATTCCAGCAAAATCTGTTTTCACAATCCATTTAATGAAATATAGAGATCAGCCACAAAGGTGAGAACTTGAATTATTTATATTATATGTATGTGACTGTATAAATAAATAAATAAATGGCATATATATTGATACAGAAAAGAAGTTCACAGTAGACGTTAAATTTAAAACACAGATTTCAAAACAGTATATAGAGTCACTATGAGTTGGAATGGACTCAATGGCACAAAACAACAACATAGCACAATCCCATTTATGTTTCACAGAATAAAGCCTGGAAGGCCTTTGATCAAACTGTTGTCACTAGTTCTCTTGGTGTTGGGATTGCAGGAACTTCTGTTTTCTTGGTTTCTATTTTTTTTTAACCTTTTTTTTTAATTTGTGCAATCAACGTAAATTAATTTATAAAAAGGTAAATAGACACATACATAATGAAAGTAAATTGCAATTCCCACCCCCTAAAAAATACCCTGATAACCAATATACAAATGTTAAAGGAAAAATATTCTAAGCATCAATGTCAAATGTCTCAGAGGAAGGCAAACTGGACCTTTGCAGAAACTGTTTGGTCAGAGTGCGTGGGTGGAGGAAATCAGCTCAGGCTATAGAAGAACTTTCCTGCAGTGAAAATGGTCTAAACATGATGTGAGTGAGTGTGCAGCAGGGAGGCTGAGCACGGATGTGGCAGAGGCGATGCCACAGAGGACTGTGCATCACTGAGGCACTGATCCTGTGCCACCTTGAAAGGCTTTGATCCTAGGATTGGGTCAGAAACAGAGTCTATAAAAGGCGTATGTGCTCAGCTGTTGCTAGGGGCAACTCTAAGAAGCTCAGAGGAGTGACAAGATGTAGGTGCATCAATCACCTGAATTGAAGGTGAAGTCTTCCTAGAAGAAAAGCAACAGGAAAAGACACAAAGGCAGTCTGGGGAGAGAAAGCCTATGATTGCAGAGAGGATACGCAGGCATTGCATTTTAGGGCTCTTGTCTAGCAGTCTCTGTCTCCCTCTTCCCGTCCTTCTCCTTCTCCCTCTCCCCTTCCCTTTCTCCCCTTCTCCCCTTCTCTAGATGTGTAAAAGTTGCAGGGGAGACCCAAGCACAAGTGTTGCAGGTGATCTTAAATCTCAAAAGACAAACACTGAGGCCATCCTTTTAATTATCTCTAACAACCTGAGAGACGACTCCCCAGAGATTTGTCCAAAAGTCCCAGAGACTAGCAAGCAGCTAGAAGGCTGGGATTTCGAGTGAGTTCTAAAGAAGCTCTTTCCTCAAGGGCCAGGAATAAGATACAGGAGTCAAATAATCTGTGATCAGTATTCATTAAACTGGTGAAAAAAATCTACCAAACTTTATCTTTAATTCAACAGTCATCTATTGTGGAAGTAATAGAAACCAACCAGTTGCTGTTGAATGGACTATACAACTCACTGCAATCCCATGTATGTCAAAGTAGAACTATGCTCCACAAAGTTTTCAATGGCTGATGTTTTAGCAAATAGATTGCCAGGACTTTCCCTTGAGGAAACTCTGGCTGGACTCAAATTTCCAACCTTTCAGTTAGTAGCTGAGCATATTAACTGTTTTCACCTCATAGGGACTACAGACATAATATAAACGAGGCTCTAGAGCGTGAGGTTGGTGGTCCCCTCAAGATTCTGTTCTTGACCATCTAACCTTTATCACTATAGCTTCTTGTTGTTACAAGGTGCTGTCAATTTGGTTTTGACTCATGGCAACCCTGTAGGACAGAGTAGAACTGCTTCAGAGGGTTTCCAAGCTATAAATCTTTACAGGAGTGGATGGTTGTTACATGGTAAAATTATGAATTTATCCCCAGAAAAACGAAACACACACAGGAACATATTGACTTTTTTTTTTTTTAAATTGTGATTTGGTGAATATTTACAGAGCAAATTCATTTTCCATACAGCAGTTCACATACAATTTGTCTCATGACATTGACCACAGTTTACCCCAATGCAGTATTTTTTTCTTTTCTATTGTGAATTAGGTGAAAGTTTATGAAACAAATTCATTTACCATACAACAATCCATACACATTTTGCTTCATGACTTTGATTGCAATCCCGATAATGTAAAAGCCTCTCTTCCTACTTCCTTCCTGTGCTTACTTTCCCTGTGTCCTTCTTTCCTATGTATTTCTGCCCTCTGAGCAATCTCCCTGAAGCACCAATTGACTTTTATATACAATTTCATGGAGTTCAGTGTTACCTGAAAATCCATATGTGAGCTCTTAGTGATCCATTCCAAGCCCATCTCTCCCATAGCACTGATACCCACCTGTAGCTTGCCAGCTCTTAAGTCTATACTTGTGATCAACAGAGTGTCTCACTTCCTAAATCTTGTCAAGTTCATCTCTTACGTATCTCTTAAATCCTTCCATTTCTCTCTATCCCCACTAGCACTTCTCTGATTCAGACCCTCATTATTCACTAGGAGTATTATAGTCACTTCCTAACTGATTTGTCAGTAACTAGTCTTGTCCCTTCTATCCATATTCCAGAGCACTCTACTTTAAAAATAAACAGGAAGTCTAGTTACTTCCATGAATAACTGCTTCCTTTGCCAGGAGATCAGAAGAACTGGATGGTGCCTGGTTACCATAACTGAACACTTTGACCAAAGAGTCTCTAGAAGAATCCTGATCAAAAGGAGGAAAATGTAGAACAGAATTTCAAATTCTTGTGCATTCTAGATTTTCTGGAGGCATGGAGGCTGGTTGAACCCCTAAAACTATTGCCCTAAGATAATCTTTAAATGGTGAACCTAAAACATCCCCTGAAGTCTTCTCAAAATCAAACAATAGTTTAACTTGTAAAGAATGTCAGCCTTGAGCATTGTGGTCTTTTAAGAACTGTCTGTATGGATTCAGATTGGCAAGAGTAACTTGAAAGATTAGATAGGAACCTTAGAGGTCAGTGAGTTTATGCTAATGGGGGAGGAACCGATCAGAAAAGGAGGGTGACAGTGGTTTGCACAACTCAAAGAATATGATTGTCACTAAACTGTACATGTAGAAACTCGAATTGGTGTATATTTTTGCTGTGCATATGTTCAACAACAACAACAACAAAACAAAATAAGTCATTTTTTAAAAACCAACCAAAAAAACACATTTAAAAAAAAAAAAAAATATCTGCTTAAGAACTTTGAGTGGCTCTACCTTATTACAGGATAAAGCCCAAATTCCCTTGCCTGCTCCTCTGTGGTCCAGCGTACACACTGATTCGTCCTCCTTGCGTTTGCACCAACTACACTCAACCACTAAGACAGTGATACTCTCTCTTTTTATGCCTCTTTAAAGGGGCCCTGATGGTGCAGTGGTAAAGCACTCAGCTGCTAACTGAAAAGCACCATCAGCTGCTCCGCAGGAGAAAGATGTGGCAGTCTGCTTCCGTAAAGCCTGCAGCCTTGAAAACCTTATGGAGCATTCTACTCTGTCCTATAGGGTCACTATGGGTCAGAAGTGATTCAGTGGGAGTGAGGTTTTTTTTTGTATCTACTCTTTGACAGATATCTTATGTACTTGTCTTCTCTACTACTTTGTGAGTTTGTAGAGAGAAGAAATTTTTACTTGCTCATTTTTGTATTTCACTATAGTAGGAGCTCTGGTAGCATAGTGCCTAAGGCATTTGACTGCTAACCAGAAGGATGAAATGCTTGTTGAATTAAGTCAACAAAAGTGAACAAAATATAGTCTGCCTCAAAAAAAAAAAAAAAAACCCAAATCCCTTTGAGTTTCCGAGGTGGTAAATATTTACAGAAGTACATTGCCCAGTCTTCCTTCTGCAGAGCAGCTGGTGGGTTTGAACTGCCAACCTTCTGGTTAGCAGTCAAATGCCCTAGGCACTACGCCACCAGAGCTCCTTAGTCTCTGCTTCAAGGAACTTATAAAAGGGAAATCAAGTCATGAACACCAGTAACTAATGAAAGGCCGAATGGGATAAGTGTTACAGAGATA